CCATGGAGGGGCTCTGCCAGTGATTTCTGATGATGTTGCCGTATGAGGGGATACTCCCGCTTGAAGGTTTTATACCACCAGGCTAGACGTTTTTATTCTTGTTTCTTTCTTTTTTTTCTAGAAATTCCGATGGCAGCGTGGAGAGGAGGATCATGTGACTTTGAGAGAAAGCACCAAATGTTTGGCTTCACAGAAGCCCTAAACCATAAAGCAGACAGAGTCCATCATGCAGGCAAACAAAAAGAGGGCCCACCTGAACCTTGTAAAAATGACTAGGGGGGTCGAAAAAGGCGAAAACCCCGGCCTCGACCTCCTGTTGAAATCACACAAAGAGAAAACTCATCAATGCGGTCGAAGAAGGCGGCCTGGGCTTGGAAGTCTTTCTGTATTTTTGACTTGCTTGAAACCAGAAGTATGTGTGGGCCTAGATGAACAAGTACAAGGTGCCAGGTGCCTGGGCCCAGAAGAAGAAGTACCAGGGCTGGAGAACCATAGTAGTATCGCTTTGATTTGTTTGGTTGTCATATATATGACAGGGATAGTGCTGCAGGTTTGAGTGGTGCAGCCATCTGCAGGCTCGTACTACGGGGGGATGCCCCCCCCCCCCCCCCCCCTTATTAAGGCCAGTGGATCATGTTAAAAAAAAAAGGGAAAAAAAGTTTTGAGCAATGCATCTGTTCTTGACACATGTTTTGAGGGAACGTTCGTGTTTTTTTGGACAAGACAATCGCGTGCTGGTGGCAGAGACGAGGCAGCCATGTTCTGGAGGTTGGCTACCTTCTTCCCTCGAATACAACGTACGCTAATTATAGCTGTACTTGGAGTATCTTTCAGTCTAAATACAGCTATAGCTACCGTACGTTGTATTCGGGGGAAGAAGGTGGTATGGAAGACCTGTATGATTGTGAATGAAGCTTGAAATTGAGTCGGATCATTGCCTGGGGTTGAATTGTGAGGTCCCGGTAGGGGAGTTCACGGGCGCAGCGCTGCTGAGAGTGCTGCGCCCGATGGGAAGGGATCTAAGAAAGTGTCTGGTAATAAGGCTATACTCAACATCGCCCACTTCGTGGGGGAAGGGGCCTATATCCAGAAATATCTATCTATCCTAATCGTAAGTTGAGTTGGAGAGCTGTATGATAGGTGACTATCTCATACGGTTCGGAGAGGACTCGAGTAATCACCAAGGGTGTGAAAGTTTATCAACGTTCGATAATGTTCTCGATAAACTAGTAGGTTTATGTAGGACCACGCCCGTCTCAGCACATTGAAACTGTGGACCAAATTTCTTCAGTGTGCTTCTTTTGCCCGGTGGATGCTGGACGCTCTTGCACGTACGTATTGGCGGCAGGTACAGCGGCGGGAGGACGATGGTTGAGGAGTGGCGCGGTGGTGGGAGATGGCGTGATGGTGCCAACCTGCTGCGAATGGTGGGAAAGGGATTACGCAAAGTATACGAGGAGGGGAGGCGGCAGCCGGCAAATCATCGGTCTTCTTCTCCAGTTGCGGTCCATATCAATGGCTGTCGTGACGGTCCACTCGAATTCTGCCCGCTCAATATATCGTCCGGAAGGTAAGTCTACCTAAGTGAGCTATGGTTGTGAGGAAGAGGCGCGCGACAGGTGAAACCTCCTTCCCTCTTTCCCAGCTGTACTACGGTAAGCGGTTGCAACTCCCGTAAGGTGTAGGGAAGTCGTGCCTCACGTAGGCCCTATCCTGTCGTAGGGGCTCGCGAGAGGTATGGCTGGCGCACTCGGCCTGAGCGGCTTTGTGGAAGCTCCATGTATATATTCGCGACGAGGATTTAGACCAACTCCTGCGTGACGCGGCCGGGAGGGTCCCGCGCTGCCCCCGTGCGGTGCCGGACCGATGCGCTCGACACCGGGATGAGAAGGATCGCGTAGCCAAGGAAACCATAAGTCTTACTGCCAGCTATGGCAGGACGTGCATAACAAATTCTCTAAACTGACCGCCTTGTGACGCCCAACCTCACGCCCGACGCGACTTCCTGATCGGAGTGTGAGAGCGCTTGGAAGCGCAAAAGGGAGTGTGCCAAGGAAGTCACGCGGCCGCTAGGGTGGTTCTTGAACTCCCTGTGGCGACTCGCCAACAGGCTTGGCGAGGGGGTGTCACACTGTTTTTGATTCCCGGTAGGAATTGAAGATGGTTGTTTTTGTCTTTGGTGTTAATTCTGCTTCGAGCCTGAGAAGCTAACAGTGGGAGGAGGGGAGTCCTTCCTTCCCCAATTTGGTGTAGGGTTTGAAGGGTGGGAGATAAGCGGTGTGGTGAGGAAGATGGGATAGGAGGTTGTTCTTGTTGACTTGGAATTGAAGCTACGATGGCCTTTGACATCCATTAATGACCTCGTAACCGAGCTTTTTAATTCTGTTGTTTTACATTGATAATAATTTGGGTGTTTTGATTTATGATTCTCGAATGTTTTTTCTAGGTTGGTTGACTGGAGGAGTTCGTATTTTGTTTCGTTTGATTTTCAATGTGAGAGTATTTCGTTTTTTTGACATCTCCTGGACCAGGTATCATTCACAACGATTTTCTGTGCAATTCCTAGTCATGAGTACGATCCTTGCCATTTAGTCGTT